AATTAATTTTATGATACTCAAGTCTGAGGTTTTAGGTACATTTTGTATCATAGACAAATACTCTCCACATATGGATCCCAGTGACAGAACTGTGCAGTGAATGACCTGCAGAAGGGAAGACTCCCCCAGGAAGGAGGGAGCTCTCTGCTGCAGGTAGGTAATCCACCTGGCCCCCATGAGTCTGAGTCCCAGGGTCGCCAATCCCCACGACTGTTGCTGAGCGAGTAGGGGTGGAGGGCGCAGCTCCATCTCTCTTCCCTAGACACAGGAACTCACCATTGTGGTCTCCAGGCTGAAAGGACATCACGTGGGGTTTGAGGCAGCAACTTTATGTGTGAACTTGATCCTAGGGATCCAGTACTGTTCAATGGTGTCATTGCTGGTGTTAGCGTCACCCTCTCTAGGAACCAGAGAGGACCAGGTTGAGCCTCACCTATTATCACACAATAGGCATCTGCCTTCATTCTGCTTCTGACACATCACACACCTGGCACTTGTCAAGGCCCCATCATGCTCCTACATTGACTGATTTAAATCCAGTTTTCTCTGAAAATCCCTTTCCTCCATATCATTTAATGAAAAGAATCCTGTATGCAGAAGATTAAACCTGGCTATTCAATAATCTTAGTTAGGTTAATTAAATAATAAATAATCTAGGTGCCTGAATGTAGGTAACAGGAGAATCACCACATGTGGACGTAGCCATAAGAGCATGCAGGTGTCTGCAGTCTGGTGTAACTGGGAAGGGAAGGCTGCCCTGCTGTGGTTTGGAGGAGGGAAAGGACGGCACCACGCCCACACCAGGTGATAGGTGCTCCCCAGCTCCAGACACATGTGTGTGTTTGCACAGATGCAGGTTCGCATGTCCTGGCCTTCAGGGAGCTCTTGGGGCTGCTGGGAAATTGATCTGAATTCCTCCTCAGAGAAAAATGTGTACAAGTATAATAGATGTGTGTATAGTTATGTGGTTGGGGAGTTGTTGCTAGGGAAAGCTCATCCCCAGAGAGAAACGGTAGGTTAGAGTTTGTGGAGTGTTAGGGTCTGAGCCAGTGCATGCAGGTTTAAAGGAGTATTTCTCCAGAGAAACATTAGGACAGAAAAGAAGAAAAGATTATTTACCTTTTCCCTATTTTGCTTCTGATTATTACCTGGCAAGGATTCTTTTGCTCTACTCATAAACAAGTATAAAATTAGGGTAAGTATGCGAAATATTTGTTCTCAGACCTTGGGCACAAGTCTAGGGTCTTCTGCTGAGAAGGGAGCAGTGTGGGCATTTGAGGAGACCAGCAAAGGAAAGGGCCACAGAGCAGGACTGTGGGGAGAACAGCTGGGGCTAAGAGAGGTGCAGGGATGCTTCTGTTCCCACAGCTGGAGTGAAAAAAAAAATGATGCCCTCATCATTCACGAGTCATCAAAACCTGTTCTCAGAAACCTGTTGTGCAGTACTGGGGAAAAAAAATTTTTTTTTAAATTGAATGGTAACTATGTACATTAATGCACTTCTGGGGTACAGTGTGGGGTTTTCACACACAATCCGAAATATTTCCATCAAACTGGTCAGCACAGCCTT